GTTAAATGTGTACCCAAAAACTGAAAAATTAACAATACCTCTTAATTAAAAAAAATTAGAACTCATGCAAAATTGAAACAAGACCAAGTACAGAGAGAGAGAGAGAGAAAGAGAGAGATTGTGGGGTGACAGATAGAGAGTGAGCACACATAGCTTCAAGCATGGCTCATGCAAGAAAACACCATTTGTGCTCACTCTCTTCTGTCACCTCCCTTACCCTTTTTTTTTTACAGAATTTAAATTTAATAGAGATGAACCCTAATTTTTCTGAAGAAAACCCTACAGCTTTAGTTGGTGGTACTGTTCCATTAGGGAATAGTACAACACAACACCGCTCTTGATGATATTTTGATGTGTGGAGAAATTAAGGGGTGTGGAGGGCTTTATATAGGGCGAAAAATCACAAAGCTTTTTTTGTTTTTTGTTTTTTTGTTTTTTTTTAAATTACGGTTCAAAGTCAGGCAGAGCCCATCACCGATGGGAATAAATGTGGATTTATCCTTTTATGGGCCTGCCCCAATATTTTATTACCCCTCCAATAAAAGAGACCCATATTTTTTGAGATTTCACACACACCGTCACGCAGACTGCGTGTGTTTTTCTATCATCTTCTCGTGACTCACATCTATCTTATCTATCCCTAAATAATATAAAGAAGAGAAAGTGCAATGAATTGAATCACATCCCTAATGAAAAAAGAGGAAAAAAATGTGAGTAAGTGAATTTTAAAATTTAAAATTATGATAGATCTAATATCAGATCTTGAGCTCAAATAATTTTAATGGTTGTAGTTTAATAGTTCAGACTTACGAGTGTTTTCTCAATAGTAGTAGGGGATGGCGTAACTGTTAGGCGATCGATCAGTCTAACAAAATGTATAATTATGTTATAATATTATTATTGTTTTTTTTAGAATATTACAATTTAGTTAAATGTATGCATATCCGTCAAATAAATAACATTGCTTAGCCATTAGGACTTCCTAACAACATTGTTTCTGTTTTTAATATGAATCCTGCTATATAAGAATAGTATGATAATATTTGTTACAATCTTGTTACTTAGATCATTGTTAAAATCAACAATCTCTAAATTATATACATCTTTAATTTGTATTCCATCTTTATATTATTTTATGTCAAAGTATATTTATTCTTTTAATATATGTTGTATGTTTGACAATTATTAGACTTAGCATGTGCTTTAAAGTTTTGGTTAACATTTGTTCCAGATAGAGACATATATGTGTGTGTGGGACTAATCGAAATAGTATTTGATGTCAATCTTTGTGAGATTGGGAGAGTATCATATCAAGTTCTATTCAACTTTGGATGGTCCCATTAATTCAAAAAGAAATTCACAAAACAATTTT